AAATATGTAAATATATGTATACTATTAGTACGTATCAATATTCATAAACAAGGGTAAAATTTTATAGTTTTCAATGCCTGCTCTGTATTATAATAATTTAATTATCTATATTCTTTCAAAAAATACTTTATCGACAAAGAATGACATTTACCTAAGAATAAAATGTTATATTACAAACTCATGCTGTGCTAGATTATTACGTATCTCGTCAGTACCTATCAAGTTACACCAGTATATAAAAAAAATATTGACATATATTACCTACAACTATTTCTAATTTCTTTAATTAAATATATTTTCAATTAATTTCTGCAGAGACCGTCTAAAAGGAATGCGACATTATAAATGTTAAAATAGGCTTATCTTTCTGAAAGAATTTAGAATTTGTCCCATTCCTAGTCGAAATGTATCAAATTAGACCAGTTAGTAACCAAAAATTTTAATATCATCATTAAGTTAACAAATTAATTAGTTGAGGTAACACGGCTTGCCAATTTTCAACATAATTTCATTGAAATTGGTTTACCAATATCATCTATTGTTCTTATGAACTTGAAAGTCAGCAAAACCTTTACATGCTTCAGGACCAAAGACATTATTTAACTCTACAAGTTTATCTAATATTCCAATATATTCGACTTTGTTACTATCATAAACCATCTTCATTGGCATTTCACTGTACATACTTTTGTAACATATAATTTTTATTGTTGTGTTTGTGCGGTAGGTATATCATCTACTTGAAACAGAGGTCTTTATCTGCAAGGTTTCTACGTGATTATCCTATATTTTATTTGTGTTTTTAACGCTCTGATTTGTGCCCATTAATTTATAGCATAAATTATTTTGGCATATAATAGGTACCTAATATTTATTGCTACTGCATAAACAAATAATTCTACTGCCTGTGTTCTGCTCCAAAAACAGTGCATTTCAAATACCTACTACAATATTATCTTCTATGTTACTATCATTATTTTTTCGTGTTATAGTAACATACCTACAAACCTAGATACGTAACTTTTATTCTTGTTTGACTTGATTCTTTCACTGAATATTTTTTAAATATTTTTTTTTTCGACATTTTGCAAACGCAATAACCTATACCTTTGGTGCAAAACTTCCACCATAGTCTCTTGGCGTCAATAAATTAGCTTATTTTAGTAAATTTACGTTTATGGTGGAATTTTGTAATCACTACTACCAAGAAAGTAAAAATTCTGGAAAATCTTTTTGGAATACACCTCCTTTAAATTAGTTTCAGAGAATTACAGATAAATGAATGAAAGATTCGCAAAAATAAATATTCTTCAAAAAGAAACTGCAGTTTTCGAAAAACCTTAAAGCATTCGGAATAAGACATAAAATGGAGCAATCATAACCAATCAAGTACTTTACATTAGCCGACAATGTGAAATTGTCATATTGTAAGTGCCACTTTATATAAAACTAGCGACCCGACCTAGCTTCGCAAGGGTGCAATGCTGATACTTAATATACGAGGGTGGATTGATAAGTTTCCGGCCTAACCAAAAGATGACGCCACTAGGCCTACCTTGAGGTGACATTCTATAGTACCATCCTTGGATAGCTTGTAGCTATAGTTTCAGCCCGATCTCCTTGCTAGTGTAGGTTTGACAGCACGCTGAACAAGACGCCTCTGTGGTTTTCGTAAAAATGGAAAAGCAGGAAAATCGTGCTGTCATCAAATACTTTTATTTGAAGGGGTTAACGCCG